AGTCTTACACTGCTAAATTAGGGACGGCTAGCGCAGATAGCCCTCGTGTAGCTTTGCGCGAAATACGTAACAAACAAACATCATATGCGAACATCAAGTAATTCGAGCAATTTGTTAAAAAAAATACGATTATGCTGTTGATAAATTATCACATTCATGGCTTATTGGTACATATTAACATTTTAAAGATACGATTATGCTGTTGATAAATTATCACATTCATGGCTTATTGGTACATATTAACATTTTAAAGATACGATTATGCTGTTGATAAATTATCACACTCATGGCTTATTGGTACATATTAACATTTAAAAAATATCGATTAGTAGCTTTAACATGTTTAGCTTTTTTTAAGATTTATTTGTCGTTAAGCACAAACCTACACTATGGGATGTCTTTGCCATGCTGGTATCGAAACTCAATTTTAGCATTATAAGCCCTTAGACTTGCGTTTTCGTCCTTTTATTGTTGGTGGCACTACATACATATCGAAATTTCATTGGAACATTAATATTTTGCTTTAAGATATGATTAACCAAGTTAACAAATCAAGGTGTACACAGGATGTGTGGAAACGTTGTCACACAGTTGGCTGCAGGGTTTCCAATCTTAAGATATGATTAGCTGAGGTAACAAATCAAGGTGTCCAAAGGATGTGTGGAAACGTTGTTGCACACTTGCTGCAGGGTTTCCAATTTTAATATATGATTAGCTGGGTTAACAAATCAAGGTGTCCATAGGATGTGTGGAAACGTTGTTACACAGTTGGCTGCAGGATTTCCAATTTTAATATATGATTAGCTGGGTTAACAAATCAAGGTGTCCATAGGATGTGTGGAAACATTGTTACACACTTGGCTGCAGGGTTTCCAATTTTAAAGCTACAAGGATTCTAATACACTGAAAAAGTATTATCATAGTAATTTCTAAGTTAATCTGGACAATTTCTTCTTGCTAGATTTGCCTATTTAAACGAGTAACGAGCATTTTTTGCATTTTACAGGGTCTCGATATGGTCGTCGTTCCAACTGGTTTAAAATTCATTGCTTAATCCAAGATCAAACAGAAATGAATGGAAGGATCACTGACCAAGTGTCTTTGTCTAATGGACGATCACAATATGAAAGCAAGAATTTTGCTTCAGTCTTTAAGTCAGAATACAGAGAAGACAATACTTCGGGTACGTCACCCAAAGGAATAACGCCATCTTGTGAAGTAACGCATCTAGTGAAGTCTTCCGTGCCTTACAGTGTGTACGATACCAAATTGTTAAACAGCAACTTTGGACATTTCGAGAAATCAAATAATACGTATGATCGCAAAGAAAATATAGGTTACCATAGTCTTCCATTGTCCCCTGTGTCTCCTATGTCTCCGCTATATCCACACAATTTTGTATTTCATCAGGGCAACGGAGGGATCGTCACCAAAAGCTGTAACAGAGTAACAAAACTTTATAATAGGGACACTAAGTACAACTATTCACCGCAATACCTTGCTTTCAACAAAAGTGACCCATTGCTGAAGTCGCCACAAGGGGGCATGCCAGTTGTCATGGACTATCAAGCAGACACACCCGAACAAGAAACGCCAATCGATCTATCTACAAAGAAATCTTCTCCAATATTCACAAGCCATGACCTTTGTTTAACCAACGACCGAAGGTCATCTCATGCTGCAGAAAATGCATCATTGACGAATGCTACAGAATCACCTTTAGATTTAACAAGAAAGGTTTTTTGATTACCGAAATATTTTTCTGCCAGAAATGATCATACTTATTATTATTTTGTTTGTATTATATGACTTGAGTATATAGGGATTATTTGAAAGTTTCATCAGAAGCGGCTTTAAATGGTTGGGAAGATTCTTTATGCTCTTGTGGCAGAACAATGGATACATTTAAGCTGGTCGCGGACCTAGTTTTGAAACCACTTATTGAAATTATGAAGTCGACGTTAGTATTTTTATGAGTTGTAGATTGTCACAGTCCATCATTACGGGTTAGACTGGACTTGGAAATAGATCAAAAGAGACGAAAATACTGTGACTTGATTGGATGTGGTTGGTTAAATTACTTGAAGGCCAGTGTTAATTTCATATTGTAAATCATTCATTACTTGTTATTAATTTTTCATAAAATAATAATGTATCGTTAACGGTGTGATACAAATTAGGATGCTAAAAAGTGAAGCCTTATAATACGTTAATTGACATTAAAATGTCGAAATCATTGAAACAAAATGACGCTTTGTTGATTTCTCCATGTGTAATTGTGTAACATAAGCCTAATATTAGATTTTTTTGTATAAACTTTAGTAATTTCTGTAATAAACAGTCAGTTGTATTCGATCATGGGACTAACTCGAAATTTACAATTCCGGAAACTGTCATTTTCTGCTGTTTGTTCTTGACAAAATATCATAGTTTGTTTCAGTTGAAATTTAAGGTATTAGTTGTAAGACTTATAACGTGAAATCATTCACTTTAATGTACAATGGTAAACATCTGTTAGGATATATGTTTGAAAGTCGTATTGTAGCATCAGCTAGGACCTCAAGGCGTTGTGAGCTATTAAATCAACTTGTATAGAACTGTATTATTGGCTGTGACGTTAGATGTATATCTTTAAATGCTCATACGTTTCTAATTATATAGAGAGTTTAGCTGATGAATTAATAGTCTATCGCTGTTTTGGACCCCAAGTGGAGGATATTACCAATTTTAGTATGATTCAAAAGATGCTGTGATGCTACGAAATTTAGTAGGACGTTACCATTGCGTGATACATCACGTTGTGTACGAATTTGTTGCACATTGTTGGAAGCTGTATGATGTTTCACACTGTGTAGTAATTTGTTGCACATTGTTAGACGTTACCATTGCATGATATGTCACGTTGTGTACTAATTTGTTGTACACTAATTGTCATCAAGTGCGTCATTAGAACTGACCATGTTTTTATTCCTAATCAAGATTAGGACTTGGCGTTCTTTTTAACCTAAGTCGATCATTACAGGGTGCTTTTTTCTATTTCATCTCTTAGTATTTATTAAAAAAATAAAGCATTACGTCACGCCTTCGTTTAGATATCGTGAACGTGTACTTTATAATTCCAAAGTTGCAACCATTATGCATTATTCTTTGTTGATTTGAAAATGAAAATGTTTTATATATATACAAGAAAAGTAAACAATGATTGCAATGGCGCTCTTTTGTTTTATTTGCGCAGCTATTTCTATTAATCCAGATAACTAGGTTAAAAGTCAGGTGTCAATTTGTATTTAGTATCTAACAAACAACAGCCATCATTTGCATACTTTAATGATTCACAAAATGTTTAGTCATTTCGCTTTTTTTCATATTTTCTGTCACATGGTATCTTTATCTCAAATTCAGTTTCATTAACCTTCAAACTGTGAACACTAGATTCTTCTTTATCTTAGTATGTCTTGTAAGTCAAATAACTCAACTGTGCTATAAGCAGAAACATTGTGGAGGGCGTTAAAGACATGTTTGGCGTTATCCGTCCATATATTTATTCTGAACGCAAAATAAAAGTTTATTTTTAAATCCTTTAAAGTATTTAGTTTAAATACCTGTTACTTTTTTTTTTGGTCTTCCAAATTTATAAGTGTTAAGCATGGTAATTATGAGTGCCTTCAATAATAGCTAATAAACACACGTTGTTTATTGTTCATTCTTGCCCTATTGCGCTATTAAAAGAGTTGGTTTACTATAGTTAGTTTCTATATATATATATATAGAAACACTATATAAATACATAAAGACTTAGTTTTGGACAATGAAAACTTTGCTGGGAAGTCCTTTTCAATGAAAATTTTGCTTTCATCACTTAGTCAAAACGTTTTAAGGATCTCGATGAAGCTTCTATTTTAATTTTTAAATTAAAAGGTTTCATCTCAAAGTTCCTTAGTGGTCCTCAAGACTTAAGCAGTAAACCTTGAAAATATGATTATTATTAACAGATATTTCATATAGTCGATCCAAACTCAAAACTTTACGTTCGTTGTACCAGATGATGCCCAACAAGCTATTTTATGCGAGAAATTTACATCCGAAACTAATGCCCCCTGCCTCCCAAAAGATCATTCATAACAAATATCTCTCTCATATTATTGTTTTTGTTAATACAAAAGAATTCTCGAAAGCACCAAAATTTGTTTTTTATCTGTACGAAAAATTTTGAATAATGTTATTCTTGCTATTCCGCACTGTTACTTTTATGATCTCATTGACTTTTATTACTACTATTACTTTTCCCGTCTTATTATCCTATGTTATTCAGCGCTTCACTCTCCCAGTGCTACTATTCAACGTTATTCAACACTATTACTTTTTTTACTCGTATTATTGGCCAATTTTCAGCTTTTTAATATTTCACTTTTACTATCCTTCATTATTCAGCACCTTTACTTTCCAGTTCCATTGTCCACGTTAATGAAGCATTGTTACTTTCCACTTTTAAAAATCCATTGTTATTCAACACCTTTTTTTCAGTGTTATTTTCCATTATTATTCAGCATTATTACTTTTCTAGTCTTATTAACCGTCGATTTTTAGCCTCATTACTTCTACAGTCTTATTTTTCCGTTTTTGTTCAACACTGTTACTGTCCAGTCTTACTCTCGTTATTCAATGCTTCAGTTGAAATAAGTTTGTGGTATTTAGTATTGTTACTTGGTATTTTTTTATATTCAGTTTACGGATTTGTAACGTGCAGATTGCGATGTATGTTGCAATAGGTTAGATTTTACAAGTTCTTTCACATTTTATATTTCTAAAAAAAGTCGTCTTTGCAAACTCGGGCTCACGTTTTTAAAAGTCTTTCTTAACGACTTGCCTTATGTTAAATGTGTTGCTCGTTTCTTCCCAGACTGGTCTCAAAGAACTTCTAAAACGTGCAAAATGAAATGTGTTGAAAGTCATCCTTTTGCTGAACGTGTTGTATGTTTCTAAATGGTGATCTTTAACTTGCTTATTAACTTGATAGTGTGCATGTCTTATCTTGGGTGATAAACATTCCTATTCATGCGATAAACGATTTCAATGCTCCTAAAAGATGATCTTTACAATTTGTTTTCAACATACTGAATGTGATATATTAACTCTTAAGGTTGGTCTCAACTGGGACGTTCACTTGGATGTTTCTGAAAATGAGTTTGTACTAGTTTGTTATATGAGTTTGTGTGTTTCCGAAGACGAGTTTCTGCGGGTTTGTCACTTGAGTTGTACGTTTATGAAGATGAGTTTGTACGGGTTTTTCTGTGTGTTTCTGAAGATGAGTTTGTACGGGTTTATTATATGAGTTGTATGTTTCTTTGCAGATTCAGGTATGTTGTACGTTATGTCAGTTTCTAATGTAGTCAGTTTTGACGACGTCTTCAATAAGTACACTGAATGCTAAGTTGGTAGAGACCAACCTCTGTGCTGATTTGTCTTTTTCTCTTTTTAGTATTAATTAGCTGTCGTTTTCTTTTGCTATCACCTCCTTTAACTTAGCATGCCTAGACTGTACATCCGAGAGTTCATGGTTTGCGCCTCTTTGCCGCAAAGAAGCACCCCACATTTTGAGACCTTGGGTGCGCTATAAGATTCACCGTCAAATCTCACTATTTAGTCATACAGGAGTAGCCCAAAAGTTGGCGGTAAGTGTTGTTGACTAGCTGGTTTCACTCTATCCTGCACAGATAACCCTTACGTAGCTTTGCATGGAAATTATAAAACAAACGAACAATTCCTTTAGTTTTACGTACCCTAATGAAAAAGAATTCCTACTGCTTTTAGTCTTAGGAAACTGTTATAATTTAGTATTGTTACTTTCTATAGTCTTATATAGGTAAATTTATCCATTCCGTTACTTAAGTGCTAAATAACCATAACCGTTAAAACACAGTGTAGTTATTTCTATAGTTTTAGATACTCTTGATGAAAGCTCTGATTTAAATTTGTTTTTTGTGTATATTGATGTATAAATAAGAAAACGTCTCAATTAGAAGTTCTCAAATTACGCTGTCCATGACTTTTTGTTTAGTACAAAGTGCATATTCTGATGACAGGTTAATAAACAAAACATTCAAACATTCCGTATTCTTTCTTATACATGTGAAGTTTGTAAATGTTTATTGTTAATATTCATTTGTATATCTTTCATTTCCTTAGGGCTAATATTTGTGAAGTTGACACATTACATTGTTAAGTGATTGCATGTATATTACTGTTTTTGGGTAAAATATTTTTTATTTTATCTACAGCTGAGATTTCATCGAAATCAAAACTTCAAAAAATATATTCTCTGTGTTAACTCTTAGCAAGCTTTTCTAAATCTTTATTGTTGAAACCCTACATTTAAACGCAAGTAGTTTTTTAGTTGTAAATTTTATTTTCACAAAATAAATAAGGAGGCCTAAGATAACAGTTTTCATTCTTGTCAGATGGTTCTCTTCTTTCCTGTGTAACAAAAATGGCTTGTAGAATTTCTTGCATGTTTTGTTTTTCTTAAATAGCTGTATTAATCTTTTGACTTTTTTGGCGTCTGCGCTTTTACTGGACGCAATCTCGTGGAATTTATCATTAAGATGATTTCGCTATATTTCTATCGAATTTGACCTTGATCAACTCAATAGTTAAATAGAACACGAGTTGAAGGACAATTTCCATATCATGGTACTCGGTTTATTGGATTTGAGTTTTATGTAACTTGATCTGAACAGAAAATCGAATGAGCATGAAGGTACAGGGTCTATCTTGACGTAATCTTTCCCATCTGTATTAGAGTGTGAAAAAATAGGAATTTCGAGCGATTTCGTTTGAGTTTTATTTTGAGAGGGGGCAAATTCTTATGAAGGTCCAGAGGCCCCTGGAAACTCTTGAATTTTTCTGAAATGTAAGTGTATTAATTCGTTGCTTGGGATTGGTTTTTCTAAAACTTTACGCCACACACACACACACACTGTAACAGCATAAAACTAGTACTCTTTGTCTGGTCCTTCTAATCTTTTTGAGGAGGGAGGGGTCAAATACCTTCATTTTTTCCCATAGTTAGCGTTCCTGAGTATGTCGTTCTGATTGTATCTCGATTTTTTAGTTATTTTTTAAATAAGCTATCTTGTTTTTTTATTTTTGCTGCTAGAGTACAAGTTTCCACCGAAAAATTTCAGTAAGCTCACTCATTCCACCGATACTTTGAGTTCATATTCAATGTCTGTATCGAAATATTTCTTATACGGAAAGCACTTGTCTAATTATTTTGTGTTAAATGTATAAAATGTATTATCTGTTTACAGTGCACTTAAGGTTGGTATTGTTTCATCATATTTTCTTTTTAGAAAAAACACTTTATTTGCCACAAAGAGTTTAAATTTTAGTGTGCCATCTCTTCACATTACGATAGGCCACTCCAGTTATTTAATGGGTGGACGTTCCCTGCCCATAACTGTTCACAATTCAATTTTGGAATTTTGTAGGAAAAAAGAAATGTATTTTTATAATTATCATGAAATAAAAATGACATATTACTGAAACTTAAAACTGTGTTTTTGTCATTTGGACTATTTTCTACAGGTGCTAATATTTCTCTTTTATTAAATGAAATTCAATTGGTTTATGCCACATACAACCTTGTGTGAACTTTGTGGTTGTAAACATTTGACTTTTATTTCTAAAGTGATCTGATTTAGAAAACAAGATACAATGATCTGACTAATTTTGGCCAAGATAAGTAATTGCTTTCTGACCTAATTTCGAAAAGTAATAGATTTTCCTACATCCCACGTTCATTGGTGGTTAGTTTCTACATCTCACGTTCAATGGTGGTTAGTTTTCTAGGTTTGAACCTCTAAAAGTAATTGGAAATTCTGAAATTTAAAATGCGAAATAATTAATTTCCTCCTTTTTACATCTTTTGATTTCCAACTGTAAATAGTATTTTGCCTTTTGACCTCCAAGCGTAATCATTTTTATTATGTGACCTACAAAGCTATTCCAATTTCTAACTTTTCCAAGGTGACCCTTTTTCTACTTTTTTTTAAATTGCAGAGTTGATCAGTTTCCTAAGTTTCGATTTCCAAAGATAATAAATTTTCTGATTCTTTGTCTCCATAGGTATTTCGTATTTTGACTTTTTATCATCAAAATTAACCTTTTTAAAATTTTTTTTCATCCA